CTGTAGCTCACCTGGGTATGTACATAACTGTTTAACATTTCTTAGCTCACCTGGGTATGTAGACAACTGTTTAACATGTCAAAAGACAGTATCTCAGTTAATATTGCCCTCAGTCTTGCTATATAATATGAAACAAGTCACAATGTTTCGAAATCTGCAAGTATTAATTTGCTATTGTATAACATTGTAGTAATGTACCACAGTTAAATCTACTTTGTAAACACAAAATTTCGACTCTGGGCCTTGCATACGTTCCATGAGAACCCTTTTTTTCTAATGTCAAACAATGTTTCCAATTGCTTAAGACAAAAACTAAATCTAAATGATCTAAATAAAATAATATGGTGTTATCATAAGAGCAAGCATGTAAGCCAAAGGTTAGATTGTCTGGCAATGCATTTTGAGAGAATTCAACAGCATTACACTTCATTGTGAGCAGAAATGGCTGAGCAGTGGCCATAAATAGTTCTTGAATATAACTTCAGTGGCGGCCATGTTGAAAATATTATTTGAATCCCTTGAACAAATTCAGGTGTCATCATTGGTCGGAACAAGGATGTAAAGTTTCAGGTCATTAGCCCAGTGGTTTCTGAGGAGGAGACGTGTACAGATGGCGTTGATGATGCAGGTCAATCAGGCCATAAAACAACAAATACAACTTTCAGTTTGGTGAGTTAAACATGCTAAAAATATTTCCAAATAGGATCTAATTTACTACAAATTACAAAGGCTAATTTCATCAGTTCGCATGTGAAATCATTGTCATGGTTATAGTATAAGCCATAATCATGATAATGTACTTCAGAAGATTTCAATTCTCTTCCCCATGCTCCCTGGTCCGCCATTATAAACTCATACTCAGAAAATGATTACCAAGCAAGTTGTTTATGGTCACGTTTCCACCTTCCTTTCCTTAGATGATTTACCACAAATAAAAAATTTGAAACCACTTCGCAAACATGTTAAGTATCAGAGATTTATACAATACTACAGTCACTTCTAAAGGGTAACCATGGTTACAGCAGTTACATCTGATCTGTATCTCCATGGCAAGTGGGCAACATGACATGTGACCTACCTCTGGCAGACCCCTGAAGAAGGACAGGAAGCCTTGCTCCTGTGCTGTGTCTGGAATAGGAATGCAGGGTTTACATCAGAGAAGCATCTCAGAACAAAACAGCTTCTCAAACTGGTAATAGGTGAGGTGAGGTGAAATTGGGTTTAACGTCGCGTCCAAGATTATTGCACTTATATAGCGACGTGCATGCACGTGTATGTGTGTGTGTGGCCGCTTGTTCTAGTCCGGACTGATGCCGATTTTTAGTGCTAGCTCACATGCCATAGTTTAACATGAATACCCCACTCAGACACAGTGTACTGACTCCGAGCCGACCAGTCCTTGTTTTAGCCCCTTAATGCCAAGCGCCAGACAGGGTAACAACAAGTACAATCTTTTAATGTCTTGTGGTATGACGCAGCCGGGGGTCGAACCCCGAACCTTCCGCTCTCCGGGCGGACGCTCTACCACAAGACCATGGAGGCGGTCGTAAACTGGTAATAGAGAAAATGGCAGCATGCATAAATGTCCCAGACAATTTGGAGAAAATGGCCCCAGATCATAGAAATCGATAGTCGTTTACTAAATAAAGATAAATTATCAATCAATATTGGAGATAAGTAACCCTGAGCAAATATGCAAAACAGAGTCTGAAAAGAAACCAACACATTTCACTCCACTGGTGAGTGGAGGCACATTTATGCATGGATTACTTTGTGGACATTTGAGATAAAACAAAAACAGTTACCGTATTGGACGTAATAAGCGCCCACGGCGGTATTTGCTAATATATTGGCCAGTGAACAATCCCAATTAGCACCCCTTCCGATTGATCAATGTTCACAAGACATATTTATTCGCGTACAATACGCACTCGTGTGTTATATGCACCCTTAATTATGGGCAATTAAATTCTAGAAAAATATATCTGTCGTACATAAACATTTCAGGCTGTCAGCATAAATCACGAAATTTATCTTTCTAATATGTTTTTTAACCAAAATAATTTTCTAATAAGAGCCCCCCTATTTCTAATTTTGAGAGCGCTCTGGGCGCTTATTACGTCGAATACGGTACTTTCCATCTTCAGCAATTGACATTATTGACAATAACAAGTCTTTTTTGGTAAATGTAAACCGTATTTCATCAAAATAGATTATGTAAGGTATTATCGAAGACACAGTTTTTATATAGATAATTGTTAATATTTCTTCCCATCGACGATAATTCAATAATAATGAAAATGGCACAACCCATAGTCAAAAGGGGAAAAAAAAAGAATCATAATGGCCACCACTAAAAAGTCAAAAGGCCCACACAGAAATAAAAAGTCTACAAACTTAATAATATAATAGTGTCAAAAATAAAAATAATGTAAAGTTTCCTTGTTAGGATCAAAGTTCATTCATGTTTTCACAAATGGTACACTAGTCAGGACAGACATCAAAGTAGTTGGTGAGATTGGTTAAAACAAGGGAACTCTACTGGAAGATATCACATTGTAATGACAACCTGTAACATGCACACCCCAGCAAAAACACTGACATTGGGACAATGATGGTTAAAGGTTGATATGCTGTTACATATAGCTGGAATATTGCTGAGTGCGGTGTTAAACAACAAACCAACCAACCAACCAGCATGTATTGGGCAACCATAGTGCCAACATTGAATACATGTATTCACTCCATTAATTTTATTTTCATATTTTATTTAATAATACTTTTAAAACATGTTAGTGCCTTATTTTTGTATCTCTTGCCTTAGAGAAAGGTATAGTTAAGCTTTTCAAACTTTAAACTTTTCCTTAACTGCCCAATTTCATCTCTAAAACATCCACAAACTGGCTTAAAGTTGGCTTCTTACAGCTACCTCGCAGCAACACCATTGTTTATCTAGATTTCTGTTCTGTATGCAAATCCTAATTAAGTGGATTAAAAAATGTAATTGCAACAAGCTATACGTGACTGAAAACAATTATCTCATAGATTTACTGATGCCTTTGTAGAGATATAATATCACCATAAAATGCAATAAAGTCAACATGATTATTATTATTATCATTGCCATTCTGACTTTTTGTTGTGGCCATTTTGACTTTTTTGTGTGGTCATCTTGACTATTGAGGCCGTTCTAACATGAGGCCTGTGAGGATCAGTGATGGCAGTGTTTGTTTGTTTTGTTGTTTAGCACCGCACTCAGCAATATTCTAGCTATATGATGGCGGTCTGTAAATAATCGAACCTGGACCAGACAATCCAGTGATTGACATCATGAGCATCAATCCACGCCATTGGGATACGATGACATGCATCAACCAAGTCGACGAGGATGACCACCCGATCCCGTTATTTGCCTCTTACAACAAGCTTAGTCGCCTTTTACGGCAAGCATGGGTTGCTGAAGACTAAGACTTAGTGGCAGTCCACAACTACTGCTACCATGATAGAGGAGACTGGCCAGGTTGACACTTAAGACCTACACAATTCCCACCCAGAAGATGTTGAGATACCAGAAAATCATCTTGAAAGGTAATTTAATATACAACTTAAGACAGTCAATATTAACTGAAAGGAAGTTTATATGTAAATGATATGAACGTTGTAATATCTATTGGTTCAAACTTATTGTCACATGTGTCATAAATTTGTATATGAGAATTTGTTTTTTTATTCAGATCCATTGAAGACGACAGCATCCATAAGCCTGATAACATGGACATTGATACTGATGTGAACACAAGTCCAACACAGGCTGATGGTACAAAAAGGAAAGTTGAGGTCATACATTCGACCGTGTGCGAAATACGCATCAGTCGGAAAGCGCACGTTAAATCTCCAAAGTAAGTTAGTAAGTAAGCATACATTCGCAACTCTGACAGAAAAAGGACAGCTGTTCCAGTTTGGGGAACTGCATGTGTGGCTGGGCAGATGACAGTTTCATGACTACATGGACCACTGCGTTAGGAAGAGTTGGAAATGGATTTGGAAACCATGTGACATTGCAACATGCCAGGATATCCTTTCATTAAGTAAACTAAATGTCAAAACATTGTTTCTCCAATATTTGGGGCCATTTTCTTCTGCATCCTTCTCATATAGGCTATGACATTTTGTTTCCAACTTCCCATGCTTCGCTTTCCCAAACATCCAACTATTTCTCAAAAGCAAACGCAATACGGACTAGATATCTAAATCGGAAACATCTACTGCAATATTTGCTGTTAGAACACTTGTCAGGAAAGTATTCTGGCATATAACTACCATATGTGATTGGCTTAGTTATGCTCAGGTATATTTATATTTATATTTAATAATATCAGCTGTTTTTCCTCTCAATTTTCGAGGGGACGTGCTCACATATAGAAGTTTAACTTGACGACAGTCAATCATGATCTCAATGTGACATGAGTGGAAACCGCTAGTTCATGTGCAGTGAACATATATAAACAAGTATCACTACTAGGTCCATACCACTAAAATTACTTGTGTCACTGGCTATCATGCAGCATATAGATCTAGGCCTAGAGGCCTAAAATGATTCTGGTAGTTGTATGGCTATTCTATTTGACATAACAACAAAAATCACAATGGTAAACTAAGCTGTGGACACTTTTTCAAGCTTAGCAATAAAAACATTTGACTGACATTCTCATAAATGACAATATTTCACCAACCTAACTGTAATTCTTGTTTCGGTAGCAAAGCCATGATGTTGACATGCGCGGGAAATCTCGCGCGAAATGATGTCACATTAAAATCCGGGAAACTATAAAATTAGTGCATCACAAGAACATTAATTCTTTTACAACTTTAGTCAGGCGATAGTCAGGGGAGAAGGTATTCCATACTATATTTTTGGGACACACCTTTTAGCTATATGTTACATTACTTATTTATCATGTTATTGGTTTGGACCGGTAAAGTGTTATGAAATTATCTCCCTTTTGTCATTTGGACGTTCCGATTGTATTTTCTTTACCTCGAAAGACATTGTCACGTGACATTTCGGACAGCATTTAGACAACATGGCGGACGAAAAAGAAATGGATCTGCTGAACAGATTAGAAAAACTGAAAGACTTAAGGTTTGTTGGATGGAATATATTACCATTAACTTATGCATTGATCTGGATCAGTGCAAGCTATCTCAGATATCTTCTGAAGTTATTATCTTTTTTGTTCTTGTTGAATCACAACCATTGGAAAGGGACAGTGAATAAGCGCCTCGGATTTCGTGTCCATCCACGAATCAATTCTTATTTCTACAGCAGAACAAAGAATATTATCCAAATAGACATCACTGCAGTTTATCGGACGCAGCTTCATACTGCTAACTTTGATGATTTGGGTACGATAAAGTACCCTTTTGGACCAAACACCCCTTCACGATCCTTAGTTTTAGTGTTGGGCCTACCCCTTCGGGTCCTCAGTGTTAGTTGAGAGAGGATCAGCCGTAGTTTAACTGCTTAGTGTTGGCAATCTATGGCTCCACTTTTGCGATCTGACATACCATCTGAAACATACCTACAGTCCTTCTATCTGCGATATCGTAGCTATGTAATGCCCCACTGAACGACCATGTGCATTGCTTCTAAAAAGCCCAAACTTGGAAATAAGTAGGGCTGCAACGAATACACTGTGCAATGCTGTGAGGCGAATACGATTCATATCACGAATGTAGGGTAAGGAATACGAATATTAATTCACAATTACAATAACAAGTCAGCAGTTTTTGTATTATTTATTATATTCAGTGAAACAATAACATAATAAATTATTTGACATGGTTTGTTAATTATTAATAAATTATACATTTATATACTGTGCTTATCCAGTTACTAGTATCTGCTCAAATGCGACAATGACCAGTGACAACAATACTGTCAAATTAAATATTATTAGAGTGTTGTCATTGAAAGAAATCTATGCATATGATATGTTGTTATGGATATTTTTAGGTACAGGGTATGTAAATATACATGATAGCATATTCATAAATATTCGATTCTAGTGGTCATGAATAACAAATTCAATTCATGAATGGTTACGGTTCGATTCACCGAATACGCGAGTGAATCGTAACAGTCCTAGAAATTAGTGCACTTTACCGGGTGCCCTTTTTCACATGTTTCAAACTAGCACTGCATGGAGGAACATGTTGCCAGCTTGATGCTACGCTAGGCTTACAAGATAATCTCATTAGCCAACACTGAATATCAAAGGAATACCATGACCATATGCACTATCACAAATGATAAGTATGCGCTGACAAGTGGTCTTCACCCAATTGTTTACCTGGTTGTGCTGATGCAGTAGGCATTTTCTCCATGAAACTTGATGGCGTTTAAACAGTTTGCATTAGATTTATTTGTATAATGAAATGGCTAACCCATACCCTACCTCACAACTAACCCTCAAGATTGTAAAGGGTGCCCAACCCTAAGGATAGTGAAGGTGTGTTTGTTTAGAAAGGGCACCTTACCCCAATGATCGTAAAGGGATGCTTGATCGGAAAGGGGATCCAAGGGCTAAGGATAGTGTTGGGGGTAACCAACTCTAACCCTAAAACAACTAACCCAAGGGATCAAAATCTGTAAGGCTAGAGCTACTGCCAGCAGTCTGAGCCAATTAGCGCTATAAGCGTGATAAGCAGTCCTGTTAACTGCAGTGTTGCCCAATCGTGGCTCCTAGCATCATTTTCAGTTGCTTTTAGTTTTACTTTTATTCTATGGGCTATATTAGCTGTACTTATGAGACTGATTGAATTTTATTAGAGACAGACTGGTGGCTAAAATCACAGACTGTATCATAGATACATAGATCTTTAATACATAGCTACAATCATGTATGATTTACACCTTAATCATGTTCATAACATTCTACTCAGTACTGATATCTAATAGGCTGATCTGGTACCAACCTTCACAATCTTTGACTGCAAATGATATAATATCATGGAAGTATTTATACCCCCTTGTACATGTTGCAGTTGTACTCAAAGCATTTGCCTTTTTATGCAAAGAAACCTTTTGTTTGGAAATGTGTTTTGCTAAGAGTTATGAGTGTAAAAACACAAAGGTGTTGAGTTTACTGCCATGGCAGCTGTGTAACAAAATAGCCACAGCAGCTGAGGCAGTCAGCAATTTTTGTTGATTTTCTGCTGTTATAAAATTAATGTGATTGATAATCCAGTATTGACATTGCCAAACTGCAAATGTTTTATGAGTTGAGATTATGGTCATAGTTCTTCTATGAAACAACAGGAATTTACCATGGTTATCTGTATGCATGATATAGGAATATGTTTCATACGCATAACAGGTGTTATAAGTTGCTTATTAATAATATTTTTCTCTTCAAATAAGCTTATATGAACAAAACCATGTTTTTTTATTGTCTTTAACTAACATCTTTAAATATTTGTATTTTGCAGTATCATAACATGAAAAATCAAAATTATAATGTTTGAAATTAACATAAGTCCACAAGTCCAAGACTAGTAAAATGCAGGAAGAACTACCACTTTTACCATTAGCAAAGGTAGATTAGGTAGATGGCAGTTCTGCAGACACTATATTTGCTTGTGAAAATAAATATTAATTTCGGCGAAACCGCATTATCAGTGGTTCATATTGGGAAAGGGAGGTCACTCTAATTTCAAACGGGAGCTATCTCCGTTGTTTTCGTATTTGCGAGAAATGGCGTCACCCACGCTGCACGTTGTTGGTCCAGCTATTAAATGCCCAGCTTATCCCTAAGGTAAAACGTAAGGTAATTAAATGTTTGAATGCATTATATATTTATGTTTCCATCAGTACATCTTCTAAGATTGGTTTAGTGGTGATAACCATTTTCTCAAATGTGGGCCCACATTGTTCCCGTCATATATGGTGATCGAAACAAGTGGGCCCACATTTGTATATCGCCTAGTGGGGAGACGTTCTTCCGTCATAGTGATTGCAACAGGAGGGACCACATTAAAAAATCGCTAGCTTCATTAGCTTTGCTTACTTATAACCATTTTCTAAAATGTGGGCCCACATTGTTCCCGTCTTATAGTGATCGAAACAGGTTTTTTTTAAATCGCTGGGTTTCATAAGGTTGACGAAGTCAGGTAGGCTATTTGGCTCACGTTTGTCATTATGTGACATTTTATATTATTCATATTTTGTAATATTGATGGGAAATATCTTTATAAATAATTTCGTGTGACATTAATTCCATAAAAGGCACAAAAGTCTTTGAAGTTTGAATAACTGCGTCATAGCTGACCACACTAGTTTTACAAAAATAGCTACCAAGCAAGAAACTTAAATCTACTTCAAATTAAAATTACAGAGGCAATACCACTCATTCTACTTTTTCCAATATAACACATCAATCTAATCATAAGTGTTGGTGGCGATATAAGCCTGAACATATGTCTACACTTGAATTGATCTCGGACATGATACAAGCCTCAGACTTTTCCGAGAACTTGTTCCATAAAAGGAATAACTCATGAATATTAATGACCCCACGACCTAGTTTGGCGATGTTCGTAGAAGTGAGTTCTGCTGTATTGCCATCTTATTTGTACATTTTAATCCAATTATAAGTCATAATACTTATTTTAAATAGACAAATTATGAGTTCGTTATGCGGGTTTGTTTACGTAGTATATATACTCAACAACAAGTGCGTTTAGTTTCGAATGTGGGCCCACCTCGAACTTTCGATTAGGCAAACGGAGTTAGCTCCCTTCTCGAACCACCGATAATGCGGTTTCGCCTTAATTTCTAACCCTGTACAGACATGACATGATAACCTGTGCCATGTTTGATTCTATTAAACTTGTTCTTGATTATGTCTTACTTCTGTTATCTCATCAGGGGCCGCACTCTTCAATTTGAGAAAGTGAAAAACCGTTTGCGCCAGGAAGTGGAGATAACGGAGAGTGAGGAGAACTTCCTCTGTGAATATCGTCAGGAGATGGAGCTGCTGCTGCAGGAGAAGATGGCTCATGTGGAGGAGCTTCGTCTCATACATGCCGACATCAACCTGGTGAGTCACCATGATCACTGATGTGGTATAGGCACAGCCTACTTGTACTGTAGTCTTGTTTCTAATGTGGTATAGACAAATGGTGGAGCGATTTATCGAATAATTGGTCAATCCACCGATCTGGTACGTCGTATCCCTTCACCGAATTCAGGGATACGAACAGATGATAACAATTAAGCTTTGTCAATACAAATATGAAATTTGAGATAAAACATCACTAGACATGATGATTTACCGATTAAATTGTATTTCCTGTTCTGCTAGGCATTGTTTTATATGTAGAGATTAAGATTACTGTGTGTATTGTCTCATAAACCAAGCCGGAAGTAACAATTAGCTGTACACACGTTTTCTTGGAATCTATTAGCACCTCAACCGCCTCAGGGCTTTTCTCTCCTATCACCAACCCCCTAGGTTCCTTCACCAGTATCGGATCCTCTTTAGTTAGTACTTAGACGACTGTCTGATGAGCGATTCCTCGTCTCGCTTGCTTCATGACCAGTTCAAATTTACCCTCGGGTTTCTTCAGCAGCTCAGTTGGCAAATAAACTTAAAAAAGTCGGAGTGCATGATTGCATTAACCTCTGTACTGAGGGTACTACATATCGTGAAGGTAACTATGGTTCCTGATCTTTCGAGTACCTCCAGTTGCCACATAATTTCTGTCCCATCCTTACCTGTAATCAGTCATGGCATTGATATTACATGGACTAGTGAAGTTGGACACACCCATGGGTTGAAGATGAACTGGCAGTCTAGTCTAGTTTAGTCCGTGCTTTGGCCTAGCCACTCAATCGCAAATGGGGATATGCATTTGATCCATCCCGCAGTCCTATCGTGGGATAATTGCATACTGTTGTGGAGGGATAAGTTAAAAAATATAGGGAATCCACAACAGGTCATGACTGCCCGCCACCCATCCCCTCCATGTTTGGATCCACTTGTTACCTGTCTACAGGTGATTGTGGGCAAGTGTGATGAGTAGTACAGGTTCATGCTGGGAGTGAGTTGGTAGGTGGGAGTGTTCCGGTGATTGTTGTTTTCACAATGTTCTACACTGTTAAATAATCAAAGCAAGAAGGACTATTGCATCCTGTTGTGTCAGGATAAGTATATAAATAAGGGGAATACTCTAATTCCCTTTTTTGGTTAATTGTGACTGAGAAGTATTATCATGATTATAGCCAAAATAAAGTTGTTCAGGACAATATTGCCTGATGATGTCACATGTGTGCTGTGATGTTCTGACTACCATGAAGTGTGCGCATGTTGGCAGATGGAGACAACAATCAAGCAGGCGGAGGAGGAGAGGAACCGGGCTCTGGAGTCTGCCAAGAAGATGTACGAGGAATACCGGCCGCTCAAAGAAGATGTTGACTCCCTCAGATCCAACATCGGTCTGTCAAAACTCCCTGACATCCAGGACGATGATGATAAGTTGAAGCCAGAGTGAGTAGAGATTCACATTGTTTGTCAGAGATTGTCCTGGAGATTCACATAGTTTGTCAGAGATTGTACTGGAGATTCACCTTGTTTGTCAGAGATTGTACTGGAGATTCACCTTGTTTGTCAGAGATTGTACTGGAGATTCACCTTGTTTGTCAGAGATTGTACTGGAGATTCACCTTGTTTGTCAGAGATTGTACTGGAGACTACATTGTTTGTCAGAGATTGTACTGGAGATTGGCTGAACATGTTTGTCAGAGATTGTACAGGTGATTGACTGAACATGTATGTCAGAGATTGTACAGGTGATTGACTGAACATGTATGTCAGAGATTGTACTCGTGTTCACTGAACATAGTTTGTCAGAGATTGTACTGGTGATTTACTGAACATGTATGTCAGAGATTGTACTCGTGTTCACTGAACATAGTTTGTCAGAGATTGTACTGGTGATTTACTGAACATGTATGTCAGAGATTGTACTGGTGTTAACTGAACAAAGTTTTGTCAGAGATTGTAATGGTGATTGACTGAACATGTTTGTCAGAGATTGTACAGGTGATTGACTGAACATGTTTGTCAGAGATTGTACAGGTGATTGACTGTTGCAGGTTTTTTGAGAAGTCCAACCTGGACTGGCAGAGTGAGCCCCCAGAGCCCCCGCTGCCGCAGTCATTGGCCGTTGCTGCCGCTGCTGCACAACAGATTCAGGTTCCCAGAGCCAAGACAACCGACAGACAGGCATTCAGACAGCAGCCGCCACCCATGAAGGTATGTGTCCCTGCAGCTGTGGACTTTCGGTAGTTGTAGCACTAGCTCACAGAGTAGACACAGGTACTCATCTGAACATGCTAACTGTCCTGGGTCCTGTTTAACAAAGCGCTCGTAACGCTACAACAAGTGTTCTTAAAATATGGGACTATTAGGAGTACAGATTAGTAATATATACACCACTGTCATACATGTCATATTGAAAATGTCTGTTTGATCAATAACTCATGATGTTATTACTGTGTGGTTTGACAGGTAGTAAGTAGGTACTGTTTTGGAATAGCAGAGACATTGATTGGCGGGATGAATGTTAAACTGATCGAAATCGGACACACTATACGCTCGTATTTATATTACCTGAAAGTTCCAATATAATTCATGTCAATTCAATCATTTTGTTTGTGCTTTTGGTTCACTTTGTACCAATGTGACTTTTAGTAAGTTGAATGTTTATAACGACATAAGTCAGGTGCACCCACAACTCACAGCACGAGAATTACCCCTTCAGTTACTTTCACGCCGCAAAGAGTGAGTGAATGTTGTTTTATGTCGCAAATCAATTTGACAGTTATATCACGGTAGCCTGTAGATTGAGTCTGGTCAAAAGAACAAGTGATTGATATCATGAGCATCAATATGGTGTCAAGGAAGGATAACATGACCAGCTAGACCACTCTATCATTTTATTTGGGTAGTTATGGTACTGAATGAAACCCATTCTGGGCTCTGTTCTTCAAATCATAAGTCCCATACTTTGACAAGGCTTACAATCATTGAAGCACAAACATTGCTTTGTGTAACGGGGCCCTGTATCTAGTATATAGGTAAGTGTTTTGTTCGCAACTCTCAGGGCAAAATATAACAAAAATATTTTTGTTACAAATTGATGTGTATTATTGTTTACCCATTTCATAGTTTATGTCTATATTAATCATTTATCCATATGCTGTTGTGTAAATATGAAGTAGTGAAGCCATGTCTATACTGTTTTATCACTTTTCAAATGTATTCTGTTACCATTGTAAGGGTCAACATGTCTGGAATATGGATTTGCATATTAATTGTATTATTCTGATCATTTAAATGATGTATTGTACTGATATATTTATCTCGTTTGTTACCGGTACACTGTATTACTCATGTCTGCATTCTGATTGGTCTGTTTCCCTGTAGGCGTGTCTGTCCTGCCACCAACAGATTCACCGCAACGCTCCCATATGTCCTCTCTGCAAAGCCAAAAGTCGATCACGCAACCCAAAGAAGCCAAAACGCAAACTTGACGAGTGATATGTTTTATTCGAGCTGTCTGTCTTTGTGTGTCTGTGTGTTGTCTGTATGTGTAGTGTGTGTCTGGAGGATGGGAGAGATGGACAGGTTTCTTGTAATATGTAACTGTTCAACATGCCACAATGGCCTGTGTACAAGCCTTAGCTCCATCCAAAGATTGTCATGCAATTCTTCCAGACTACTGCTCTGTTTGTACACAATATTCACAGCAGTGCAGTGTTATTCAATAAAGGGCCTTGGTCCTCAATGTTTCAGCTATATCTTGCAAGGAACTGTCCCTTGCTCTCCTTAACTGAAGGACAAAGAAATATTGTCTTGATTTAAGTTTAGCGTAACTTAGTTATCTGAAGACTCTTCTCATCAGACGTATCCAGATTTAGCTGCTATTAGCAATGATTAGTCAATTATGTCCTATGAGGTCAGTAACTAGTGAAAATGGTGAGAACATATGTCCTACCAGGGATGCAACAAGGCACTTGCCAGCTAGCCAGAGTCTTTTGTGTAATGTAAAAGGTATCCTAAGGGCTAGTAGAATTTCAAGCTGTTTAAGGATGTTATGTTATCGCTGTTCTGGATAGTAGATGTTTCAAATAATTGTTGCATCCCTGCCTACACTGTCTTGGATGTATGTGAACATTAAATAGACCGGAAATTCTGTTGATTCACTCCATCACTCTGTTGCCGTCTTGTTAGGGACCTATTGTATTGTAAGAAAACGCTCAGCACAGGAAATGTAGAAAAGAAAGGATACCATTTTTGGATTTGAAAATTTTCTGATTACAGCAGGGATTTTGGATGCATAATGGATGCCAAATGTTTTCTGTCACTACCGATGTTTTAATAGAATAGATGTAATAAAGAATGACAGTAAAGCTTAATTTGTGTCCCCCAAATCCTAGAAGTGGCCCACCTTCCAGTATTCAGCGGCATAGTCACCAGATTTGCACCTTCAAGTATTTACTTCATGGTAAGGTTGTGACGATACACTTTGTTGTTGTACAATATGTGTATCGATGACAGTGTTTGAAAATAAAGCATGAATGTCAAGGTATGTCATGGGTATGTCGTACAATCATTTTGATGCCATGAATCTGGTTTTCCATACAAATACATGTCACATTATGTATCAGATGTACATTTGCCAACAGTGTATTGCCATACACTGATATTTAAGTGAATCTGTACTGCCATACTGGATCAGCTTGTTGAATGCAGCTGTCAAGTCAGCTACGACCCTGGGGCCTGTTCCACAAATTGGCCTTAGCACTATGATGATCGTAACTCATACAATACATTAACATGGACTTGGTTTGTTTTGTGGAACAGGCGGAGATGTGAAATCTCCGCAGAAACGAGAAAAAACGCGTTTTTTAAAGCAGTAGTCCTCAGAAAAAATCATCTTCCGCGTAAAAATATAATCAGATTTAAAAAAACACGTCGAAAAATATGATCGAAAACCGGACAACCGATGCGGATTGTCCTGTTTTCGATCAGAGCTTTCAGCAGCATAGGTTTTCGGACAACATGCGTTTCCAGGGCCCTGGGTGTTCTTGAGTTGGCTTCGGCTCTGATGTAGAGACGGCAATGGTAGTTCTATTGTTATCTGATGACCAGTATTATGGCATGCATAGTTAGCCATAATATCCTGTTATGATAATAAACTTATCCCTTCAAGATAATAAGCTTATACAATTGTCGGTTGCTCGAGTCACAAGTACAACCAGCTGACAGAAGGGAAATGCTTTGTGCTGATGTTTGTAATGATGATAACCATATTTATTACCTACGAGGGCAAACATATCGGGGTTCCTAAAAATCATATGTGCCCTAGGGTCATATCATGTCACGAGACTACAGTGTATTGTTTCTGTCATCTGGACAGCATTGTTGACGTCATTCGAATCTTATTTTGATGTGAGGTCGGAATGATGTCACACTAGAAACGACGTCATAGCTGAAGGTTGTTGTCGTCATTCCACAAATTGTGGTTCTGCTGCTGTTGCGACTTGCTGTCCTTAAATGTAAACACTAAAATTTGTCTCTGTATGTAGACATCTTCTTCGGTAATAAGTAGAACATTATGTTCGTCTTCATGTCATACTATGTTTACAACACTCATGCCTAAATTTTGGTATTTCCCGAGCGAGAGCGGAATTTAGACACTCATGGTGTAAACATAGTATGACATGAACACTGGTATAATATCCTCTATGTCTTCACCGGAAGAAACATGCATACAGCTTTTAACTGCACGACCTGTTGAACACTTCACACATGGTAACTTACCAGTATTCAGATAAATGTTCCAAGATAAAAAAAACTTAAATATGAGTTGTTCAATTATTTTTTCCTTCAGTTTCTCTCATCAGGATGTTTCATAAACAAATCTGTAAACCAACATATTGGAAAAAAGCGTTTCTTTTGCAAGAACCTGTGTTGTGTGATGAAGTCTACAATCAATTACTGAGAGTGTTAGCTGCAAATTGTTAGTTTCCGTGGATATAGGACATTTTTCTCTCTTGCCTTTGTTGTTGAAACTTTATTTTACATGAGTTTTATGTATATTTTGCAATCTCATTTACCATGTATATTTTGATAAATCATCTTTATTTTAATAAAACCTAATATTTCACATGACAGTAGTGTTTGGTTTGATATTTGGCACAATATTCATTTAACTGTGCTATGAGGGATACAGGGGTCAAGGCATGAAATGCGTCGCAATTTGCTTGCAGAGTTGCCTCCCTTATTCATGGCAGAGTATGATGATCATGGGTTCTAATTAAAGATTCACCAAGATTACGAATTCTGGTTTATAAGCACCATGCCCCTGCTAGTGAGTTTCACCAAAGTGCTACACGTCTAGCACCTGTATACATGTCACTTTGAAGTATTGTTTGATGCCACTAAACCCACTCAGTAGGACATGTGTTTGTCATGTTTCCTTGAGAAAGTTATGATTGTTTGTTTATTTGTTGTTTAACTCCACACTCTGCAATATTCTAGCTCTATGACGGCCGTCTGTAAATAATCGAGTCTGGACCAGATAATCCAGTGATTGACATCATGAACATCGATCCATGCAGTTCGGTACGATGACTTGCATCAACCAAGTCAGCGAGCCTGACCACCTGATCCCGTTAGTCGCCTCTTATGACAAGCATAGTCGTCTTTTACGGCAAGCATGTGTTGCTGAAGACCTATACTACCTTGGATCGTCATGGGTCTCAGACTCCATTATTTACAGACCGCCGCCATAAAGCTGGTATATCAAACAGTTTGCTGAACAGAATGTGTGAAATCAGTTGGATATCAACGTTTGTCTTCCACATGCCGAGTGAGTCGCCTCCGTGGTGTAGTGGACAGAGCACCTGTCGTGAGAACGGAAGGTTCGAATCCCGGCAGCGTCATAAAAGACGTTAGTGAGTGAGTGAGCGGGGGACACCAGAAATGGGCTTCGCACAATGTATCCATGTCGGGAATCGAACCCGGGTCTTCAGCGTGACGAGCAAACGCTTTAATCACTAGGCTCCCCGACCGCCCCCATAAAAGACGTTACGTGATGGTACTTTATCTAATCCTTCCTGGAACTCGGCATTAAGGGAATAAGAAAAGGATTGCTCTGCTCTGAGTCTGTATGATGTTCTTGAGGGGGTGGGGGGTGGGGGTGGGGGGTGTCCGTGTTAAACTGCGGCATGGTATCGCAGTCAACTATCAACACACACACACACACACACACACACACACACACACATACACACACGTAATAGAAAATAGCCTCTTAAGATATGTTTTAATACCTCCTAATATACACCGCCGTCATACATGCCATCATGAAAATGTCTATTTTGGGGTCTGGGTGGGGGGGTGTCCGTGATAAACTGCGGCATGGTATCGCAGTCAACTATCACACACACACACACACACGTAATAGAAAATAGCCTCTTAAGATATGTTTTAATACCTCTTAATATACACCGCCGTCATACATGCCATCATGAAAATGTCTATTTGATCAATAACTCTTGATGTTATTCCCGTGTGGTTTTACAGGTAGTAAGTAGGTAGTGTTTTGGAATAACAGAGGCATTGATTGGCGGGAGTAATGTCAACTCGATCGAAATCGGACACACAAAACGCACTTATTTATATTACCTTAGACATCCAACACAATTCATGTCAACTCAAGCGCTCTGGATCACTTTTCATTTAAAAACACGACACATGGTACCAATGTGACTTCGTTTAAGTAGATTGGATGTTGATAAAGACATAAGTCAAGTGAACTCGACAACACATCGTATATATACTGTATATAACCTTTTCCCTAATGGATGAATATGTTGTTCGCTTCAGACATTGTCATCCCGAACCGACCCGGGTTAGAATAGGTCTTCAGAAACCCACGCTTGTCGTAACAGGCGAGTATGCTTGTCGTAACAGGCGAGTATGCTTGTCGTAAGAGGCGACTGGTGGTTGATGAATGTCATTGTATTCCAATTGTGTGGATCGATGCTCATGATGTCAATCACTGGATTGTCTGGTCCAGACTTGATTATTTACAGACCGCTGTCATATAGATGGAATATTGCTGAGTGCGGCGTTAAACAAACAAACAAATGGAAGACATAGTCAGTCTCTGGGTAGTCAAGGGGCGGTCGGGTAGCCTAGTGGTTAAAGCATTCGCTCGTCACGCCGAAGACCCGGGTTCGATTCCCGACATGGGTACAATGTGTGAAGCCCATTTCTGGTGTCCCCCGCCGTGATATTGCTGGAATATTGCTAAAAGCGGCGTAAAACCTCCCTCCCTCCCTCACTCACTCCCTCCCTCCCTCCCTCACTCACTCACTCACTCACTCACTCACTCACTCACTCACTCACTCACTCACTCACTCACTCACTCACTCACTCACTCACTCACTCACTCACTCACTCACTCACTCACTCACTCACTCACTCACTCACTCACTCACTCACTCACTCACTCACTCACTCACTCACTCACTCACTCACTCACTCACTCACTCACTCACTCACTCACTCACTCACTCACTCACTCACTCACTCACTCACTCACTCACTCACTCACTCACTCACTCACTCACTCACTCACTCACTCACTCACTCACTCACTCACTCACTCACTCACTCACTCACTCACTCACTCACTCACTCACTCACTCACTCACTCACTCACTCACTCACTCACTCACTCACTCACTCACTCACTCACTCACTCACTCACTCACTCACTCACTCACTCACTCACTCACTCACTCACTCACTCACTCACTCACTCACTCACTCACTCACTCACTCACTCACTCACTCACTCACTGGGTAGTCAAGGTTCGAAAACCATCATCGATAAGTCATGTTTCACAGCGTTATGGCCCTTGCCTTATGTTTTTACATAGCGCTCTGTACCCTAAATGGGACAGATTTTCTCAGGAAACAGCTATGGATATGTCATAGTTTATCTTACAACTAGCCAAACCTAAATATATTTCTGTAGATAATGTTAGTCAGTTTCCGTCCACGTAACTGACCGTCACAAACCAGTGACTCTGGATTACCTGACTAAGTCAGCTGGCACAGCAAGGGATGTGCTCCAGACTGTAACCTGATGTGCCCCTGACTGTCACATGCTGTGCATGGCCGGACGCTACATCATTTTAGGTAGGAATAGGTATAGGAATATAAAGGATATTACGTGGTCAGTGCATTCCGTAACTAAAGAATAATTGCAATTAATACACAAGGTATTTGGTGGATTAAGATCATAGCTTTGATATTAGGTAACTGACAATTTCTACAGAAGGCCCGAGTCCCTGTATATACGGAGACCAGTGGCAGATACTTCACTCTGCCACGAATAAAGACTTAAAGGGACTCAGCAGCCTTCTCTCTGCTTTAAGGTAAGATAACATTATTTTATTGTTAAATTCTCCCTGTCTTCAACTTATTTGATATCCTGTGCAAGTCACTATATTTTACCCTGGTTTGTAATATTTAAGAATACGTTATATGGCATTCATTATACCGCAAAGCAACTTGAATGTTTATTGTATGTGTGTGTTTATATAGATATCAGTAGATTAGTTCACTTGTACATTAACTGTTGATATGCCAAGTGAAGTGAGTGAGTATGGTTTTACGCCGCTTTTAGCAATATATTTCCAGCAATATCACGGCGGGGGACACCAGAAATGGGCTTCACACATTTTACCCATGTTGGGAATCGAACCCGGGTCTTCGGCGTGACGAGCGAACGCTTTAACCACTAGGCTACCCGACCGCCCCGCCAAGTGATAGATAAAGCCGTACGTCACATAGAGTAAATACATAGAGTAGAAAGAGTAAATAGTGGTAAATACCGGCGGGTAATCTGACGTAAATACCGTCTCATGCGAACATTGGCCATGCTACGTCTATCATTTGGTTAAGTATTTACGGCATTGAAATTATACAGTATGTTAAATTCATTTGTGTGTAAATACATGAGTAAAGCTAGAATACCGTAAATGTAAATGTTCACAGTTCCTGTATGAAATGTCTTAGCACAAAATACTTCCCAGTCCGTTATTATTCACAATTCACTTTTTGTACCTTATCTTTTAGAACATTCGTGTTACGAAAGTTCAAACCAGTCAATTCATGTATTGTTGTCAATTATATATTTAATGTGACAAGTTATTGACTGCATCTATCGTGTAATGTAATATTGTTTAAATATCTCTCTTTATATGCAATTTCACTCTGGACCGCCTCCGTGGTCTAGTGGTAGAGCGTCCGCCAGGAAAGCGGAAGGTCCGGGTTCGATCCCCAGCCGCGTCATACCAAAAGACGTTAAAATATGGTACTTGTTGTTACCTTGTCTGGCGCTCGGCATTAAGGGGCTAAAACAAGGACTGGTCGGCTCGGAGTCAGTATACTGTGTCTGAGTGGGGTATTCATGTTAAACTGCGGCATGATATCTCAGTGTGCTAGCACTATAAATCGGCATCAGTCCGGACTAGTGCAAGCAGCCACACACACACACACACATACACGTGCATGCACGTCGCTATATAAGTGCATAATTTTGGACGCGACGTTAAACCCCATTTCACCTCACTAATTTCACTCTGCCACGAATAAAGACTTCAAGGGACTCAGCGGCCTTCTCTCTGTTTTAATGTGATAGCGGACTAATCAGCTCTACCTAGTTACCTCCCCCTATCTTGGACATTGTGACGTAGCAAACGGGACCACGCCCACACAAGGCAAAACCGTCCCAACACCAAGCTACGTCAGATACAATGATGACATTTGGCACACATCATTAAGGGATAAATATGTTGGTTGAGTTCGAAAACCAACAATGAACAAATTCATGTTTTACAGAGTTATGGGGCGGTATTCACAGAGCTTCTTAATATTTCTTCAGCATTAAGAATTCTTAAATCCACAAAGAAATCTTAGTTTCCCTTACAACAAACCAAAATACCTTATGAGATTACCTAATTCAATATCTCATAAAATTCTTAGAATCTTTTTGAATACTGCCCATGGTATTTATTTGTGTCTTTCAAACATGGTACCAAGTATTGTCACCTTCCTGGAAAGTACTATACAGTAAACTACGGTTATAACGAACACGCTTATAACGAACTAACGGATATAACGAACTAACTTTTTAGTCCCGACTATTAGCTGTAGTTATACTGTATATATGCTTATAACGAATTACGGTTATAGCGAACTAAAATTAGTAGTCCCTTTGAGTTCGTTATAACTGTAGTTTACTGTATAAGCCATTTTGAACACATCATTAAGTGGTGTATATGTTATCAAGTTTTAAATCAGAAATGTATGGCCCTTTATTTGTTTGTTGTTTTCAGCGTTGGCTCAACTGTGTTTAGTGTTCGTTTCATATATCTTCGCGTTTGGTGTTCTGGATTATTTTGACATATAAATTTTGCTATTCCAAGGCGACAAGTTTATATTAGGGTCTGAAAGTTGTGTGAATGTATTGGCTAGTTAGAACAGGGTCTATACTTTTCACAGAAATCAAAATGATTTATTTGCAATTTTCAAACATGTTAGGATGTTGGGGGATGTGGACGACTGTTGTGCAGTGTTATTATCAATACGTTTACTGATTGGGCGCTGTGCCACGCCGGTTATAGATTGTTATATAGATCGGTGCTGTAATCCCATCAGCTCAACGCGATCGATTTGACTATCATCATATAAACTGTTTATTTAGCTCTCTATAGGAAAGCTTTCAGTTATCTTTCGTCATCCAACTGTGAGATAACTAGATTGTGTTATTGATATAATACACCATCGGATCGAGAAAGTTCCGTGTGTGCGTTTTTGTGTCCGATTTTTTTTACACACACACACACACTAACACACACACACACACACACACTAACACACATACTAACACACTAACACTAACACTAACACTAACACTAACACTATATATATATATATATATATATATATATATATATATATATATATATATATATATATATATATATATTCCTCTTGGAAGGAGCGTTAGATGTGTGTTTAATGCTTTCACTGTATTCTGTCTGCATGTGATTCACAGAGCTACTTTGCTGAATTTTCTTTCGATCTGCCGCACAAATTAACTGGTTGTCGTGACCGTACAAGTGGGTTTCGATTTTCAATCAGTCGGAACTACCAGCGATAATTTATAACAGGAAGAGATAGGTAATTACCGAACGAAACCCCATTTGTTCCGTTGATATGGCGCGTGCAGAAATTTACCCGTGTATTTCTATTCGTAGTCTGGTGTTTCTCGGCAGTTTTAGAGTATGATAATAGGGGTTTCAGGTATGATAATAGGGGTCTCGGACTGTGCCAATAACAAATGGAATATGAAGTAGATTCACCCGTGAAACCTTCCGCTAATTTTAGATTGAAAAGAAATTAATTGATTGAATAATTAAAAGTCCACTCTGAACTATGGTGCGTATAAAACCATGTTAACCGTGCGTACTGCGTTGGAGGGTCCGAGGGTAACGTACTGTTGCTTGAGGGGGTGGGGCTTTGAGTGGGATAGTGTTGTTGGAGGGGTATGGCTTTGAGGGGATACTGTTGTTGCAGTGGTTTGGCTTTGAGGGGATACTGTTGTTCCAGTGGTGGGCTTTAAGTGGGATACTGTTGCCGGAGGGTTGGGGCTTTGAGGGGATACTGTTGTTGGAGGGGGCAGGGCTTTCAGGGGATACTGTTGTTGAAGGGGCAGGGCTTTGAGCGGGATACTGTTGTTGAGGGGGGCATGGCTTTGAGTGGGATAGTGTTGTTGAAGGGGGCATGGCTTTGAGTGGGATAGTGTTGTTGAGGGGGGCATGGCTTTGAGCGGGATAATGTTGTTGAAGGGGGCATGGCTTTGAGTGGGATAGTGTTGTTGAGAGGGGCATGGCTTTGAGTGGGATAGTGTTGTTGAAGGGGCAGGGCTTTGAGCGGGATAGTGCTATTGGAGGGAGGCATGGTTTTGAGTGGGATAGTGTTGTTGAGGGGGGCATGGCTTTGAGTGGGATGGTGTTGTTGAAGGGGTATGGCTTTGAGGGGATACTGTTGTTGGAGGGGGCAGGGCTTTCAGGGGATACTGTTGTTGAAGGGGCAGGGCTTTGAGCGGGATACTGTTGTTGAGGGAGGCATGGTTTTGAGTGGGATAGTGTTGTTGAGGGGGGCATGGCTTTGAGTGGGATGGTGTTGTTGAAGGGGTATGGCTTTGAGTGGGATACTGTTGTTGAAGGGGCAGGGCTTTGAGCGGGATAGTGTTGTTGAAGGGGCAGGGCTTTGAGCGGGATGGTGTTGTTGAGGGCGGCATGGCTTTGAGTGGGATACTGTTGTTGAAGGGGCAGGGCTTTGAGTGGGGTAGTGTTGTTGAGGGGGGCATGGCTTTGAGTAGGATAGTGTTGTTGAGGGGGGCATGGCTTTGAGCGGGATAATGTTGTTGAGGGGGCATGGCTTTGAGTGGGATAGTGTTGTTGAGGGGGGTATGGCTTTGAGCGGGATACTGTTGTTGAAGGGGCAGGGCTTTGAGCGGGATAGTGTTGTTGAAGGGGCAGGGCTTTGAGCGGGATGGTGTTGTTGAGGGCGGCATGGCTTTGAGTGGGATACTGTTGTTGAAGGTGCAGGGCTTTGAGCGGGAAAGTGTTGTTGAAGGGGGCATGGCTTTGAGTGGGATAGTGTTGTTGAAGGGGACATGGCTTTGAGTGGAATAGTGTTGTTGAGGGGGGCATGGCTTTGAGCGGGATAGTGTTGTTGAAGGGGCAGGGCTTTGAGTGGGATAGTGTTGTTGAAGGGGGCATGGCTTTGAGCGGGATAGTGTTGTTGAAGGGGCAGGGCTTTGAGCGGGATAGTGTTGTTCAAGGGGCATGGCTTTGAGTGGGATAGTGTTGTTGAGGGGGGCAGGGCTTTGGGTGCGATAGTGTTGTTGAGGGGGGCATGTCTTTGAGCGGGATAATGTTGTTGATTGGAGGGGCATGGCTTTGAGCGGGATACTGTTGTTGAAGGGGCAGGGCTTTGAGTGGGATAGTGTTGTTGAAGGGGCAGGGCTTTGGGTGGGATAGTGTTGTTGAGGGGGGCAGGGCTTTGAGTGGGATAGTGTTGTTGAAGGGGCAGGGCCTTGGGTGGGATAGTGTTGTTGAGGGGGGGCATGGCTTTGAGTGGGATAGTGTTGTTGAGGGGGGCATGGCTTTGAGTGGTATAGTGTTGTTGAGAGGTGGGGACTTTGAGTGGGATAGTGTTGTTGGAGGGGCAGGGCTTTGAGCGGGAAAGTGTTGTTGGAGGGGTGAGGCTTTGAGTGGGATAGTGTTGTTGGTGGGGTGGGGCTTTAAATGGGATACTGTTGTTGAGGGAGGGAGGGGGGGAGGGGGGGGGGGGCAGGGCTTTGAGTGTGATAGTGTTGTTGAGGGGTGGGGCTTTGAGTGTGATAGTGTTGTTGAAGGGGCATGGCTTTGAGTGTGATAGTGTTGTTGAAGGGGCAGGGCTTTGAGCGGGATCGTGTTGTTGGAGGGGCAGGGCTTTGAGTGGGATAGTGTTGTTGGAGGGGCAGGGCTTTGAGTGGGATAGTGTTGTTGAAGGGGCAGGGCTTTGAGCGGGATCGTGTTGTTGGAGGGGGGCATGGTTTTGAGTTGGATAGTGTTGTTGGAGGGGTGGGGCTTTGAGTGGGATACTGTTGTTGGAGGGGCAGGGCTTTGAGTGGGATAGTGTTGTTGGAGGGGCAGGGTTTTTAGCGGGATCGTTTTGTTGGAGGGGGGAATGGTTATGAGTGGGATAGTGTTGTTGGAGGGGCAGGGCTTTGGGTGGGATAGTGTTGTTGAGGGGGGCATGGCTTTGAGTGGGATAGTGTTGTTGAGGGGGGCATGGCTTTGAGTGGGATAGTGTTGTTGAGGGGGGCATTGCTTTGAGTGGGATAGTGTTGTTGAGAGGTGGGGCTTTGAGTGGGATAGTGTTGTTGGAGGGGCAGGGCTTTGAGCGGGATCGTGTTGTTGGAGGGGCAGGGCTTTGAGCGGGAAAGTGTTGTTGGAGGGGGGCATGGTTTTGAGTGGGATAGTGTTGTTGGAGGGGTGAGGCTTTGAGTGGGATAGTGTTGTTGGAGGGGTGGGGCTATGAGTGGGATACTGTTGTTGAGGGAGGAAGGGGGTGGGGGGCAGGGCTTTGAGTGTGATAGTGTTGTTGGAGGGGCATGGCTTTGAGTGGGATAGTGTTGTTGAAGGGGCAGGGCTTTGAGCGGGATCGTGTTGTTGGAGGGGCAGGGCTTTGAGTGGGATAGTGTTGTTGGAGGGGCAGGGTTTTTAGCGGGATCGTTTTGTTGGAGGGGGGAATGGTTTTGAGTGGGATAGTGTTGTTGGAGGGGCAGGGCTTTGAGTGGGATAGTGTTGTTGAAGGGGCAGGGCTTTGAGCGGGATCGTGTTGTTGGAGGGGGGCATGGTTTTGAGCTGGATAGTGTTGTTGGAGGGGTGGGGCTTTGAGTGGGATAGTGTTGCTGGAGGGGGCAGGGCTTGAAGTGGGATACTGTTGGTGGAGAGGGATGAGACTGTGTCCTTTGAGTGGGATACTGTTGTTGAGGGGGGCAGGGCTTTGAGTGGGATACTGTTGGTGGAGAGGGATGAGACTGTGTCCTTTGAGTGGGATACTGTTGTTGGAGGGGGCAGGGCTTTGAGTTGGATAATGCTGCTGGAGAGGGAAGGGTGCCTTTGAGTCGGGTACCAGAAGTAACTTGTAGCTATTTCTTTTATAGGCAAAATGGAAAAGAAGCGGTGTGGTTGGGAATAGGGGCCTTAAGGTTTGAAGCAGGGAGGGTTGGATCTAGATAGAGGTTATAAACTATTCCCCACGTGAACAGACGTCATAGTCACAGGCAAAGAGTGTAGAACAGTTTGTTTCGTTCGTAAGTGCAGGGTGCACTTCATTCCATCAATACACCTGAGTGGTCTCCGCTGAAAGTAATTACGCCTAATTGTTTATTTTAACCAGTGAATGCTTTTCTGTGAGATGAGTCTGTTAACGTGGAGAGGTCACCGTGGTGTAGTACACGCTGTCGAGAGCATTACGTACTCACCTGAGGACAGGTGTGATACTACCTCAGCAACGACAGGTGTACATCAACAGCACGTCAAGACATCAGCTACATCGACCGTGCTTTGGGGCAAAATATGAGATATCAAGGGAACGGTTGCTATACGTTTGTGTGAATGTTCAGAGACATTTCGGCTCGGCTCAAACGGTAAGTCAAACAGTAAAGGCGTCATAACCCTGGTGTCATGCTTAGACCATCCTGCACCTGTCTGTCGTTGTGGTCCCACAGTAAGGTGTCATAACCCTGGTGTCATGCTTAGATTATCCTGCACCTGTCTGTCGTGGTAGTCACACAGTTAGGCGTCATAACCCTGGTGTCATACTTAGATCATACTGCACCTTTCTGTAGTGGTAGTCACACAGTTAGGAATCATAACCCTGGTGTCATGCTTAGATCATCCTCCACCTGTCTGTCGTGGTAGTCCCATAGTTAGGCGTCATAACCCTGGTGTGATGCTTAGATCACCCTGCACCTGTCTGTCATGGTAGTCACACAGTTAGGAGTCATAACCCTTGTGTCATGCTTAGATCATCCTGCACCTGTCTGTCGTGGTAGTCACACAGTTAGGAGTCATAACCCTGGTGTCATGCTTAGATCATCCTTCACCTGTCTGTCGTGTCAGTCACACAGTAAGGAATCATAACCCTGGTGTCATGCTTAGATCATACTGCACCTTTCTGTCGTGTCAGTCACACAGTAAGGAATCATAACCCTGGTGTCATGCTTAGATCATACTGCACCTGTCTGTCGTGGTAGTCACACAGTTAGGAGTCATAACCCTTGTGTCATGCTTAGATCATCCTGCACCTGTCTGTCGTGGTAGTCACACAGTTAGGAGTCATAACCCTGGTGTCATGCTTAGATCATCCTCCACCTGTCTGTCGCTGTAGTCACAAAGTTAAGCGTCATAACCCTGGTGTCATGCTTACATCATCCTCCACCTGTCTGTCGTGTCAGTCACACAGTAAGGAATCATAACCCTGGTGTCATGCTTAGATCATCCTCCACCTGTCTGTCGTGGCAGTCACACAGTTAGGTGTCATAACCCTGGTGTCATGCTTACATCATCCTACATCTGTCTGTCGTGGCAGTCACACAGTAAGGCGTCATAACCCTGGTGTCATGCTTAGATCATCCTCCACCTGTCTGTCGTGGCAGTCACACAGTTAGGTGTCATAACCCTGATGTCATGCTTAGATCATCCTCAACCTGTCTGTCGTTGTAGTCACACAGTTAGGTTTCATAACCCTTTTGTCATGCTTAGATAATCCTCCACCTGTCTGTCGTGGTAGTCACACAGTCAGGCGTCATAACCCTGGTGTCATGCTTAGATTATCCTCCACCTGTTTAACGTGGTAGTCACACAGATAGGTGTCATAACCCTTTTGTCATGCTTAGATAATCCTCCACCTGTCTGTCGTGGTAGTCACACAGTTAGGCGTCATAACCCTGGTGTCATGCTTAGATCATCCTGCGTCTGCCGGTCGTGGAAGTCATACAGTTAGGTGTGAAAACCTGGTGTCATGTTTAGATCATCCTACATCTGTCTGTCGTGGTTGTCACACAGTTAGGCGTCATTACCCTGGTGTCATGCTTAGATCATCCTCCACCTGTCTGTCGTGGTAGTCACACAGTTAGGCGTCATAACCCTGGTGCCATGCTTAGATCATCCTCCACCTGTCTGTCGTGTCAGTCACACAGTTAGGTGTCATAACACTGGTGTCATGCTTAGATCATCCTCCACCTGTCTGTCGTGGTAGTCACACAGTTAGGCGTCATAACCCTTTTGTCATGCTTAGATCATCCTCCACCTGTCTGTCGCTGTAGTCACAAAGTTAAGCGTCATAACCCTGGTGTCATGCTTAGATCATCCTCCACCTGTCTGTCGTGTCAGTCACACAGTTAGGCGTCATAACCCTGGTGTCATGCTTAGATCATCCTCAACCTGTCTGTCGTTGTAGTCACACAGTTAGGCGTCATAACCCTGGTGTCATACTTAGATCATACTGCACCTTTCTGTAGTGGTAGTCACACAGTTAGGAAGCATAACCCTGGTGTCATGCTTAGATAATCCTCCACCTGTCTGTCGTGGTAGTCACACAGTTAGGCGTCATAACCCTGGTGTCATGCTTAGATTATCCTCCACCTGTTTGACGTGGTAGTCACACAGATAGGTGTCATAACCCTTTTGTCATGCTTAGATAATCCTCCACCTGTCTGTCGTGGTAGTCACACAGTTAGGCGTCATAACCCTGGTGTCATGCTTAGATCATCCTGCGTCTGCCGGTCGTGGAAGTCATACAGTTAGGTGTGAAAATCTGGTGTCATGCTTAGATCATCCTACATCTGTCTGTCGTGTCAGTCACACAGTAAGGAATCATAACCCTGGTGTCATGTTAGATCATCCTGCACCTGTCTGTCGTGGTAGTCACACAGTAAGGCGTCATAACCCTGGTGTCATGCTTAGATCATCCTCCACCTGTCTGTCGTGTCAGTCACACAGTAAGGAATCATAACCCTGGTGTCATGCTTAGATCATCCTCCACCTGTCTGTCGTGTCAGTCACACAGTAAGGAATCATAACCCTGGTGTCATGCTTAGATCATCCTCCACCTGTCTGTCGTGTCAGTCACACAGTAAGGAATCATAACCCTGGTGTCATGCTTAGATCATCCTCCACCTGTCTGTCGTGTCAGTCACACAGTAAGGAATCATAACCCTGGTGTCATGCTTAGATCATCCTCCACCTGTCTGTCGTGTCAGTCACACAGTAAGGAATCATAACCCTGGTGTCATGCTTAGATCATCCTCCACCTGTCTGTCGTGTCAGTCACACAGTAAGGAATCATAACCCTGGTGTCATGCTTAGATCATCCTCCACCTGTCTGTCGTGTCAGTCACACAGTTAGGTGTCATAACCCTGGTGTCATGCTTAGATCATCCTCCACCTGTCTGTCGTGTCAGTCACACAGTAAGGCGTCATAACCCTGGTGTCATGCTTAGATCATCCTGCACCTGTCTGTCGTGGTAGTCACACAGTAAGGCGTCATAACCCTGGTGTCATGCTTAGATCATCCTCCACCTGTCTGTCGTGGCAGTCACACAGTTAGGTGTCATAACCCTGGTGTCATGCTTAGATCATCCTCAACCTGTCTGTCGTTGTAGTCACACAGTTAGGTGTCATAACCCTTTTGTCATGCTTAGATAATCCTCCACCTGTCTGTCGTGGTAGTCACACAGTTAGGCGTCATAACCCTGGTGTCATGCTTAGATTATCCTCCACCTGTTTGACGTGGTAGTCACACAGATAGGTGTCATAACCCTTTTGTCATGCTTAGATAATCCTCCACCTGTCTGTCGTGGTAGTCACACAGTTAGGCGTCATAACCCTGGTGTCATGCTTAGATCATCCTGCGTCTGCCGGTCGTGGAAGTCATACAGTTAGGTGTGAAAACCTGGTGTCATGCTTAGATCATCCTACATCTGTCTGTCGTGGTTGTCACACAGTTAGGCGTCATTACCCTGGTGTCATGCTTAGATCATCCTCCACCTGTCTGTCGTGGTAGTCACACAGTTAGGCGTCATAACCCTGGTGTCATGCTTAGATCATCCTCCACCTGTCTGTCGTGTCAGTCACACAGTTAGGTGTCATAACACTGGTGTCATGCTTAGATCATCCTCCACCTGTCTGTCGTGGTAGTCACACAGTAAGGCGTCATAACCCTTTTGTCATGCTTAGATCATCCTCCACCTGTCTGTCGCTGTAGTCACAAAGTTAAGCGTCATAACCCTGGTGTCATGCTTAGATCATCCTCCACCTGTCTGTCGTGTCAGTCACACAGTAAGGCGTCATAACCCTTTTGTCATGCTTAGATCATCCTCCACCTCTCCGTCGTAGTAGTCACACAGTTAGGCATCATAACCCTTTTGTCATGCTTAGATCATCCTGCACCTGTCTGTCGTGTCAGTCATACAGTAAGGCGTCATAACCCTGGTGTCATGCTTAGATCATCCTCCACCTGTCTGTCGTTGTAGTCACACAGTTAGGCGTCATAACCCTGGTGTCATGCTTAGATCATCCTCCACCTGTCTGTCGTGGTTGTCACACAGTTAGGCGTCATAACCCTGGTGTCATGTTTAGATCATCCTCCACCTGTCTGTCGTTGTAGTCACACAGTTAGGCGTCATAACCCTGGTGTCATGCTTAGATCATCCTCCACCTGTCTGTCGTGTCAGTCACACAGTTAGGCGTCATAACCCTGGTGTCATGCTTACATCATCCTCCACCTGTCTGTCGTGGTTGTCACACAGTTAGGCGTCATAACCCTTGTGCCATGCTTAGATCATCCTGCACCTGTCCGTCGTAGTAGTCACACAGTAAGGCGTCATGACCCTGGTGTCATGCTTAGATTATCCTCATCCTGTCTGTCGTGGCAGTCACACAGTTAGGTGTCATAACCCTGATGTCATGCTTAGACCATCCTGCACCTGTCTGTCGTTGTGGTCCCACAGTAAGGTGTCAAAACCCTGGTGTCATGCTTAGATTATCCTGCACCTGTCTGTCGTGGCAGTCACACAGTTAGGCGTCATAACCCTGGTGTCATGCTTAGATCATCCTCCACCTGTCCGTCGTAGTAGTCAGACAGTTAGGCATCATAACCCTTTTGTCATGCTTAGATCATCCTCCACCTGTCTGTCGTTGTAGTCACACAGTAAGGCGTCATAACCCTGGTGTCATGCTTAGATCATCCTCCACCTGTCTGTCGTGGTTGTCACACAGTTAGGCGTCATAACCCTGGTGTCATGCTTAGATCATTCTCCACCTGTCTGTCGTTGTAGTCACACAGGTAGGCGTCATAACCCTTGTGTCATGCTTAGATCATCCTCCACCTGTCTGTCGTTGTAGTCACACAGTTAGGCGTCATTACCCTGGTGTCATGCTTAGATCATCCTGCACCTGTCTGTCGTGTTATCACACAGTTAGGTGTCATAACCCTTGTGTCATGCTTAGATCATCCTCCACCTGTCTGTCGTTGTGGTCACACAGTAAGGTGTCATAACCCTGGTGTCATGCTTAGATCATCCTGCACCTGTCTGTCGTTGTAGTCAAACAGTTAGGCGTCATAACCCTTTTGTCATGCTTAGATCATCCTGAACCTGTCTGTCGTGGTAGTCACACAGTTAGGTGTCATAACCCTGATGTCATGCTTAGATCATCCTGCACCTGTCTGTCGTGGTAGTCACTTAGTTAGGCGTCATAACCCTTGTGTCATGCTTAGATCATCCTGCACCTGTCTGTCGTGTAGTCACACAGTTAGGCGTCATAACCCTTGTGTTATGCTTAGATCATCCTTCACCTGTCTGTCGTGTTATCACACAGTTAGGCGGCATAACCCTGGTGTCATCCTTAGATCATCCTGCACCTGTCTGTCGTGTAGTCACACAGTTAGGCGTCATAACCCTTGTGTCATGCTTAGATCATCATTCACCTGTCTGTCGTGGTTGTCACACAGTTAGGCGTCATAACCCTGGTGCCATGCTTAGATCATCCTGCACCTGTCTGTCGTAGTAGTCACACAGTTAGGCGTCATAACCCTGGTGTCATGCTTAGATCATCCTTCACCTGTCTGTCGTGGTTGTCACACAGTTAGGCGTCATAACCCTGGTGCCATGCTTAGATCATCCTGCACCTGTCTGTCGTAGTAGTCACACAGTAAGGCGTCATAACCCTGGTGTCATGCTTAGACCATCCTTCACCTGTCTGTCGTGTTATCACTGCCTTTATCTTATCATCAACAAAGTTGATAAAGTACAGAATATGTAACAAAGGAATTTATTGAGAGATACTCCCACAAAAAGCGGAAGAGCAAATTTAGCAGTGGTTTGTAGGGGTACATTCAGTATCTTCACTTCAATTAAAGGCAGGGTTGTTGGGGTACATTCAATATCTTCACTTCAATGATAGGCAGGGTTCTAGGGGTACATTCAGTATCTTTACTTCAGTGATAGGCAGGGTTGTGGGGGTACATTCAGTATCTTTACTTCAGTGATAGGCAGGGTTGTGGGGGTACATTCAGTATCTTCACTTCAGTGATAGGCAGGGTTGTGGGGGTACATCAGGATCTTCACTTAAGTTATGGGTAGGGTTGTGGGGGTACATTCAGTATCTTCACTTCAGTGACAGGCAGGGTTGTGGGGGTATATTCAGTATCTTCACTTAAGTTATAGGTAGGGTTTTGGGGGTACATTCAGTATCTTCACTTCAGTGACAGGCAGGGTTGTTGGGGTTCATTCAGTATCTTCACTTCAGTGATGGGCAGGGTTGTGGGGTACATTCATGATCTTCACTTCAGTGACAGGCAGGGTTGTGGGGGTACATTCAGTATCTTCACTTCAGTGATTGGCAGGGTTGTGGGGTACATTCATGATCTTCACTTCAGTGACAGGCAGGGTTGTGGGGGTACATTAAGTATCTTCACTTCAGTGATGGGCAGGGTTGTGGGGTACATTCATGATCTTCACTTCAGTGACAGGCAGGGTTGTGGGGGTACATTCAGTATCTTCACTTCAGTGATGGGCAGGGTTCTGGGGGTACATTCAGTATCTTCACTTCAGTGACAGGCAGGGTTGTGGGGGTACATTCAGTGTCTTCACTTCAGTGATGGGCAGGGTTTGGGGGTACATTCAGTATCTTTACTTCAGTGATAGGTAGGGTTGTGGGGGTACATTAAGTATCTTTACTTCAGTGATAGGCAGGGTTGTGGGGGTACATTCAGTATCTTTACTTCAGTGATAGGCAGAGTTGTGGGGGTACATTCAGTATCTTTACTTCAGTAAAAGGTAGGGTTGTGGGGATACATTCAGTATCTTTACTTCAGTGATAGGCAGGGTTGTGTTGGTACATTCAGTATCTTCACTTCAGTGATCGGCAGGGTTGTGGGGATACATTCAGTATCTTTACTTCAGTGATAGGGAGGGTTATGGGGATACATTCAGTATCTTCACTTCAGTGATAGGCAGGGTGATGGGGATACATTCAGTATCTTTACTTCAGTGATAGGCAGGGTTGTGGGGGTACATTCAGTATCTTCACTTCAGTGACAGGGAGGGTTTGGGGGTACATTCAGTATCTTTACTTCAGTTATAGGCAGGGTTGTGGGAGTACATTCAGTATCTTTACTTCAGTGATAGGCAGGGTTATGGGGGTACATTCAGTATCTGTACTTCAGTGATAGGCAGGGTTGTGGGGGTTCATTCAATATGTTCACCTCAGTGACAGGCAGGGTTAAGGGGATACATTCAGTATCTTTACTTCAGTGATAGGCAGGGTTGTGGGGTACATTCAGTATCTTTACTTCAGTGATAGGCAGGGTTGTGTGGGTACATTCAGTATCTTTACTTCAGTGGCAGGCAGGGTTGTGGTGGTACATTCAGTATCTTTACTTCAGTTATAGGCAGGGTTGTGTGGGTACATTCAGTATCTTTACTTCAGTGACAGGCAGGGTTGTTGGGGTACATTCAGTATCTTTACTTAAGTTATAGGCAGGGTTGTGTGGGTACATTCAGTATTTTTACTTCAGTTATAGGCAGGGTTATGGGGATACATTCAGTATCTTTACTTCAGTGATAGGCAGGGTTATGGGGGTACATTCAGTATCTTCACTTCAGTGACAGGCAGGGTTGTGGGGGTACATTCAGTATCTTTACTTCAGTGATAGGCAGGGTTGTGTGGGTACATTCAGTATCTTTACTTCAGTGACAGGCAGGGTTGTTGGGGTACATTCAGTATCTTTACTTAAGTTATAGGCAGGGTTGTGTTGGTACATTCAGTATCTTTACTTTAGTGATAGGCAGGGTTATGGGGGTACATTCAGTATCTTTACTTCAGTGATAGGCAGGGTGATGGGGATACATTCAGTATCTTTACTTCAGTGATAGGCAGGGTTGTGGGGGTACATTCAGTATCTTCACTTCAGTGACAGGGAGGGTTTGGGGGTACATTCAGTATCTTTACTTCAGTGATAGGCAGGGTTGTGTGGGTACATTCAGTATCTTTACTTCAGTGACAGGCAGGGTTATGGGGATACATTCAGTATCTTTACTTCAGTGACAGGCAAGGTTATGGGGATACATTCAGTATCTTTACTTCAGTGATAGGCAGGGTTGTGGGGGTACATTCAGTATCTTTACTTCAGTGACAGGCAAGGTTATGGGGATACATTCAGTATCTTTACTTCAGTTATAGGCAGGGTTGTGGGGGTACATTCAGTATCTTTACTTCAGTGATAGGCAGGGTTGTGGGGGTACATTCAGTATCTTCACTTCAGTGATAGGCAGGGTTGTGGGGATACATTCAGTATCTTCACTTCAGTGATAGGCAGGGTTGTGTGGGCACATTCAGTATCTTCACTTAAGTTATAGGTAGGGTTGTGGGGGTACATTCAGTGTCTTCACTTCAATTAAAGGCAGGGTTGTGTGGGTATATTCAGTATCTTCACTTCAGTGATAGGTAGGGTTGTTGGGGTACATGCTGTATCTGCACTTCAGTGACAGGCAGGGTTGTGGGGGTACATTCAGTATCTTTACTTCAGTGACAGGCAAGGTTATGAGGATACATTCAGTATCTTTACTTCAGTGATAGGCAGGGTTGTGGGGGTACATTCAGTATCTTTACTTTAGTGATAGGCAGGGTTGTGGGGATATATTCAGTATCTTTACTTCAGTGACAGGCAAGGTTATGAGGATACATTCAGTATCTTTACTTCAGTGATAGGCAGGGTTGTGGGGGTACATTCAGTATCTTTACTTCAGTGACAGGCAATGTTATGGGGATACATTCAGTATCTTTACTTCAGTGATAGGCAGGGTTATGGGGATACATTCAGTATCTTTACTTCAGTGACAGGCAAGGTTATGAGGATACATTCAGTATCTTTACTTCAGTGATAGGCAGGGTTGTGGGGGTACATTCAGTATCTTTACTTCAGTGACAGGCAATGTTATGGGGATACATTCAGTATCTTTACTTCAGTTATAGGCAGGGTTGTGGGGGTACATTCAGTATCTTTACTTCAGTGATAGGCAGGGTTGTGGGATTACATTCAGTATCTTTACTTCAGTGACAGGCAAGGTTATGGGGATACATTCAGTATCTTTACTTCAGTTATAGGCAGGGTTGTGGGGGTACATTCAGTATCTTCACTTCAGTGATAGGCAGGGTTGTGGGGATACATTCAGTATCTTTACTTCAGTGATAGGCAGGGTTGTGTGGGTATATTCAGTATCTTCACTTCAGTGATAGGCAGGGTTGTGTGGGCACATTCAGTATCTTCACTTCAGTGATAGGTAGGGTTGTTGGGGTATATGCTGTATCTGCACTTCAGTGACAGGCAGGGTTGTGGGGGTACATTCAGTATCTTTACTTCAGTTAAAGGCAGGGTTGTGGCGGTACATTCAGTATCTTTACTTCAGTGATAGGCAGGGTTGTGTGGGTATATTCAGTATCTTCACTTCAGTGATAGGCAGGGTTATGGGGTTACATTCAGTATCTTCACTTCAGTGACAGGCAAGGTTATGGGGATACATTCAGTATCTTTACTTCAGTGACAGGAAGGGTTGTGGGGGTACATTCAGTATATTCACTTAAGTTATAGGCAGGGTTGTGGGGCTACATTCAGTATCTTTAATTCGGTGACATGCAGGGTTGTTGGGGTACATTCAGTATCTTCACTTCAGTGGTAGGCAGGGTTGTGGGGTTACATTCAGTATCTTTACTTCAGTGATAGGCAGGATTATTGGGATACATTCAGTAACTTTGCTTCAGTGACAGGCAGGGTTGTGGGGGTACATTCTGTATCTTCACTTCAATGACAGGCAGATTTGTGTGGGTACATTAAGTTTCTTCACTTCAGGGACTTATATTTTAACTATGGTATCTTATATTCAAGAGGCGGTCGGGTAGCCTAGTGGTTAAAGCGTTCGCTCGTGACGCCGAAGACCCGGGTTCGATTCCCGACATGGGTACAATGTGTGAAGCCCATTTCTTGTGTCCCCCGCCTTGATATTGCTGGAATATTGCTAAAAGCGGCGTAAAATCAAACTCACTCACTCACTCACTCACTCTTATATTCAAGGTCAGCATGGGTTGTGGGACGTCTAAGACGAAGACGACTGCAGCTCCCGAGAACAGTTACATCAGTGGGAAACAACGCATGCTGGTCCAGAAGACATGGCCTTATCTTGCGGGAGACATAGCCGGCATCGGCAGCAAGGTCTTCATCCGGATCTTCCAGCTCCACCCCAATGTGAAGCAGCTGTTTCCGTGTCGCCACAAGGAAGGCCAAGAACTGCTGCAGGATCAGAACTTTAAGGGACACGCGTCACGTTTCATGCAGGCCGTTGGTGCTGTCGTTGATAACATAGATGACCTTGACAGGTCACTGTCGCCCCTGTTGATTGGCCTGGGGCGCCAGCACATCCATTACAATGGCTTTATTTCGGAAAACTTCGACGCATTTACCGAGTCAATGACCTTGACCTGGTCGGAAGAACTAAAGGGACGTTTCACGGAAGAGGTGAAGGACGCCTGGGAGGCTGTGTTCGACTTCATAATGATGAAATTGAAAGAGGGTTTCGCTCTGGCTTGTGATAAGCGGGATAAACTTGTTCCATAATAATGTGGTAAAGCCATTTGATACAGTACTTAATTTATGTTGAAAACAGTTATGCTTAGATAATATGGTGAACACAAGCAACGAATGTGCCAGGGTAATATGGCGAACACATAGAAAGAATGTGCCAAGTTAATATGGTGAACGCAAGAAACGAATGTGACAAGGTAATATGGTGACAGCAAGAAACGAATGTGCCAATTGCAAGTTAATATGGTGAACGCAAGAAACGAATGTGACAAGGTAATATGGTGACAGCAAGAAACGAATGTGACAAGGTCATATGGTGAACACAAGAAACGAATGTGACAAGGTCATATGGTGAACGCAAGAAACGAATGTGACAAGGTCATATGGTGAACACAAGAAACGAATGTGACAAGGTCATATGGTGAACACAAAGAAAGAATGTGCCAAGTTAATATGGTGAACACAAGTAATGAATGTGACAAGGTCATATGGTGAACACAAAAGACGAACGTGCCAAGGTAATATGGTGAACACAAGAAACGAATGTGACAAGGTCATATGGTGAACACATGAAACGAATGTGCCAAGGTCATATGGTGAACACAAGAGACGAATGTGCCAAGGTGATATGGTGAACACAAGAAACGAATGAGACAAGGGGATATGGTGAACACAAGAAACGAATGTGCCAAGGTGATATGGTGAACACAAGAGACGAATGTGCCAAGGTCGTATTGCAGTCACAATTAATGAATATGGAATGGACATGCGGTAGCCAAAAGCTTGTCATATTGTGGTCACCAGAAGCTTATGAATCTGACCTAAATGTCATTTTAAAGGAGAATTGTGTCAAATTGGCTGATCTTATAATACCTTAGAACATCAACTAAACGTCACTACAATTGAAACAGTACTGTTTTATATGTGTGTTCATTGTAAGTCTATATTACAACGAATACGAATAAGGCAGGCGCTTATGCGTAAATACGTAACAGTTGTCGGTTGTGTTGCTCAAAATAAAAACACAAGTACAAATCTAGACTTCAGAGACTATAACAATAAGAAATACTTGATAAATAATTGAATGTTTACTTGGCAGCAATTAGATGTTGTATTCGACAAAAATAAAGGTGTTATAACAGTGTATGGGGAACCGACTATTTTGTTTTGTGTGAGGAGGGGGGATATTTTTCAGCTTCATCTGCAAAACCAGATATTTATTTCACAAATATAACACTTTGCAACAATGTATTTTTTGTGGCAGGCAATTTAATGGGCTTTTTGAAGGTCTGAAGCCCAAAGCTTAAATCTTTTTTCAGGAATTTTCAGGGACAACACATTTTTTCGATACAATCCAGCTCCCCAAGCCCATAAATAATCGATTCAAACCAGAGACTGAAAGCACGAGCATCGGATCATCCACGCGACCGGGGCACGATGAGACTTAATCAACCAAACTGTCACCCTTTAGTCTTCAGTCGGCAGCTCTTATAACAAACATACTTGTCATATGCTGATCCGGTACCCTATGGGGTCGGACGTATTGGACACAACGACACTTACCCTTCTCACTGGCTAAAGTGTTCCAAGCTTGTGAAGCTACGGCTTGGCTCAACAGTCCCATGTCCGTGTTTAGTCCGAATGTGGACACAGTAATTATATTCTAGGTAATACGCTGATGGGCACGCACTGGCAGACTGTTAACTCACCTGACTAACAGTCACGTGAACGTACGTGGGTATCGTTAGCATCGTTCTCCGAAAAGCAAAAGGCACTCAAAGCTGAAACCGTTCATGGATGAGCACAGTTTAGGTGTTTTTAAAATTTCAGATGTCGACAGTTGACCCAGCCACGACCTAAGACCTCTACAAACCCCGTTGTTCTAGTTCAAATGCATTTGCCACATGTCCCCTGAATCCAAAAGGTCCACGAAGCCTAAATGTTATGGGTATGATCTCTCTATATGACTATGGTGTCTCTAAAAGTGCTCACATAATTCCGATTTTAAACATGGCCGCCGTCGCAGCCATATTGTAAATGTTTTTCATTACTCCACCAGTTCTGCATGTACCATTATGAAATGGAATATACAGCAGGTATGTTCTATGCCCAGTGAGAAATTTCATTTTTTGCTATGTATATTGTGATATGTGATACTAATTCAACTTGACTCTAACCTGCCGCTGTGGCTGCCACTCGTAAAAGATAATCATAGTAATAGAACCAGTTATACATGTACAAAATGTGTAATAGAATCATCATTCTTTCTGTTATGTAGACCCTTCTATTACTGTCTTGCTAATATTCTATTTTTCTCTTATATGGCATTTATGGTCTAATGCAATATTCCAGAAAAAAAGTCAGCTGAGCAATACTGTATTACTCTAATTTGTCTATTATTGATGTCAGACTACCGATGCCGGACGAAGTAGCTATTACATATCGATTCAATTGACAAGCTCAGTGTTGTGTGAATGATTCAGACTTGCAATGACATAATTTGTCGCGATCACACCGTCGCAATAACCAATGGCTACCATACAGATGGAGAAGGCCTGTCTCTACCTGCTGCTTCAGTGGAGATGAGCAAGATGAGGTCATCAGCATTTATTTCTGTAAATGTGATTTGGAAGCATCGCTAGTAACCATGGCAACTAAAGACACGGTGTACCTTGTAATGTACACTGGCTTCATTTACGACAAGGCACAGTATTGATTGACCTAACAGGCAGTTATTTACTGTCAATGTCTCTGTTATTCCAAAATACTACCTACTTACTACCTGTCAAACCACGAGTTATTGACATTTTCAATTCGACATGTATGACGGCGGTGTATATTAAGAGGTATTACAAGGCATCTTTAAGAAATGTTTTCGATTACGAAACGTATAACGGGTTTGTCTCAATGTTTTTATTAAATCACTAAAAGTACAATGATGTTTGGTGAACGGGGTTTATCGTCGCGTTGTCAAGGTTAATTTCACTCATATAGCAACGTTTGTGTATGTGTGCGTGTGCGTGTGCGTGTGCGTGTGCTAAATTTGGTCTTTCCCACATATTCTCACAATTTTCACGTCGATTATCTGAACCTTCCTCCCAATATCGATTGTCATATCTCTCCCACATTTGGAAGCGATCGTTCGGCCGCTGCGTTTATCTCCGTTGCCCACCTTCATCTCTGGGGAACAACACACTAGACACTTCCCTCTCAACATTAACGTCGTCCAATTTACGACGTCATCAAATTGCGAGCGCAAATTCGCATCTCCAGAAATGACATCATGATAGAACAATGATTTATCGTTAAATAAACTACGCTTCGTTCTTCATTGTTGTTTGCGATTAATCGTGTAGCTATCTTCTACATTGTAACATCTTCCCGAGGCAAGAGAGTTAACTGACTATAAAAGTCCAGTTTCCACCCTTGCCGAACAAGGCTGGTATTATGGAGTAACATTTTAGCTGGACTAACGAGTCTGTGCATAGTCCAATCAAAATAGCGCAACGAAATCGAAATCCGGTTAGGAAATTGTGGTGCAGATTTAGGTCGATTGCAGGATTTGCACAGCATGTGCACCGCCAACTCGTTGTCAACAGATATTTTCCAAGTCTTTTCATGTTTTTAATCAAGGTGCTCATGTGATTTGATGCACTTCACGATGTGAGACCCGTTTTATCACAATATAGATCTTGATTATTGATCAGATTGTCTTGACTGTTCGCCGCCATTTTGTTTGAAACAAATGCAAGTGATACGAGAGGTGGAATCTGATTGGTCCATAGGAGAGGCTTAGAAGTGACAAAACTCGCAAAAGCCACTGGTGGCGCTACGATCGAGCCAAGGAATTCAAGTCTAGTTCGGCAAGGGTGGAAACTGGACATTTAAAGTCAGTTAACTCCTTTGCCTCGGGAAGATGATATTGTAATGATAAGTGCACAGATTATGTTTTACGGCCAGTTGCCTCACACTCAGCAGGCTGTATCTCTCAAAATTCAGCTTGGTCGCTGCAATCCGGAAGTGAGACCAGCAGGGTCCAGATTGGGGGGGGTCCAGGGGGTCCAGAGTCCCCCCTTCTTTTGAAAACCAAATGTAGTATGTTGTAGGCCGTAAAATTGACTGAGAGTGGATTTTGATATTTTGGACCCGTCCCTTTTAAAAATGATGGATCCGCCCTTGAAGGTGATTGTGCTCACCATGCGCAGCTAATATTACAGGGAAACAAGGAAAACCTAGACTCTATGCGTGAGTGAATGTTGTTTTACGATGACAACAATATTCACGACGGCATTATGTTATTGAATGAGTGTTTTTTCACGTCGCTTTCAGCTATATTCTGACAATATCACGGTGTAACACCGGTAATGGGCTTCACACATTGAATCAAGCAGTGTTGGGAGTCAAACCCGGGCCTTCAACGGCGTGACCGCGAATGTTTCAACCACAAGTAGGCTACACTACCGCCCCTGTAAGTAAGTGTGGCGGGGCCATGTAAACCACTGGTGAATTAACAGGAGCCACTGTTCGATACCGCAAGCAATCAGCCAAGTCACACATTGTGCATTTAATCAGGTCTTAATCATGACCTATTCTCTCCCGGGACTACCACGAGGTTCTACACTCAACACATTTCGAAGTAGTCTTTAATTAATTCCGCGTGTAAATGAAGATTTTCCATTAGGGGAGTAATGGAATATTATCGTTTTTCAGGACTGGGGTAAGGAGGGAGCATTTTGATTTATATTCCATTAATAATTAAGTATTCGAAAGAAATTTGATTCTAATGTACAGGTGGCCTCTTTTGACGTTCGAAGTTCGAAGCCATTGCCACGCCATTGCCATTGTCTGCGACTATAATACAAGATGATTGGCCTGGCGTTGCCATCCGGTCCATGCTGGTAAACTGGTCATGTGTACCTCTTCTAAGCCGACGACAACAGGTTGGCATTGTTGTATTCTATCTGTACGGTTGCGGAATGGCGGCGAGTGAATGTTGTTCCAACACAACAGTCAGCAATATTCAAGCTATTCCATGGCGACTAAAAATGATCGTGTCTGGACCAGGCAAACCAGTGATGAAAGCATGAGGAACGGTCCACAGCATCTGTTCGACGACACAGCATCAGTCACATCACAATCAATGTCTCCATTAATCTTAAACAATACCAACATTGCTTCTCTGGCGGCCATGTCTATTTTGACAAACAGACAGACATACATGTATTTTTGTTTAAAGACCAATGCTAGTTATATAATACTTTCTTCTGCTGAGAACATGTACCTAAGAAATTTTGCAAAATGTATCATGGTATCATGGACAGTATTTCTTAACAAACATGTTCTATAACATGGCTTTCATCCTCAATTACATGTCAGTGTTTACATAAGATAGCATCATCCTCAATAAAAACAGGGGCGGTCGGGTAGCCTAGTGGTTAAAGCGTTCGCTCGTCACGCCGAATACCCGGGTTCGATTCCCGACATGGGTACAATGTGTGAAGCCCATTTCTGGTGACCCCCGCCGTGATATTGCTGGAATATTGCTAAAAGCGGTGTAAAACCATACTCACTCACTCACTCACTCAATAAAAACAACACCCCTACATTTAAAAATGATAGATCCGCCCTTGAAGGTGACTGTGCTCCTCGTGCATCTCTAACATTACAGGGAAGAAAGGGAAACCTAGACTCTATGCGTGAGTGAATGTACAGACGAATTGAATATCAAGAGCAATTAATGTAGTTATTAACCTTCTATATTCACAGTGCCTAATATTTGATAAATATGTTTCGCAAATGACATTATGATACACTTTATACAGTTTATAGGATGAGAGGGCTGTTATTTAGAGGTGCATGCCAATCCTGAAACGAAACTCTTTCACTGAACATATGTACTGTTTTGTATTGCATATCCCCAAACCATAATGACTAGATATGCAAAGCCCAGAAGGGCATCTCCTATCGACGATGGATAAGAACATTTTATAATACTGACATGGATATCTGTTTGGACTCATTTGCATTATGTTATGCCAGTATTTAAATACATGATGAATATTATGAAGTGGATACTTGCCACATTCACCATGGGCAACTGCATTTACAGTTCTGTAGCCTGTATAAAGTAAGATTTTATAAAATGT